TTTTTTTTTTTTTTGCAGAACCGGGGATTGAACTCAGGCCTTGCACTTGCCAGGGAAGCGCTTATTCCACTGAGCCATCTCCCCAGCCCTTCTTTTTGTACTTGTGTCTACGATATTCTTTGCTAATTTGTTTAGGGGATGTGGTAGGGAAGATTGAACCTAGGACCTTGCACCTACTAAGTAGGTAGTCTACCACTAAGCCACATCCCTAGCCTTCAAAAACATGTTATTTGAGACATGGTCTTATTAAATAGTCCACACTGACCTGGAACTTGGGAACCTCCTGACTTGGCTTCCTGAGTAGCTGGAATTATGCCCCAACTCCTTTTTTGATACTTAATATCAAAATTCTCCCTATTGTGAAAAAAAAAAATTTGTTCAGATAAGGCCTATCTTTTGGGAAAAGTGTATGATTAGTAATTTAATTAAAACATCTTGTGAGTTTGCATTTCTAGGTTACCAGGGGAATGTAATATTCAACTCACATTGTATGCTGGGCATAGTGGCACATGCCTATAATCCCAGAATTTGGGAGGTTGAGACAGGAGGATTGTCATGAGTTTGAGGCTAGCCTGGGCTATGTACTGAGCTCAAGGCAGCCTAAACTACACAGTGAGATCCTGTGTTTAAAACTGGTTTACATGTAAACAGTGATTGTATTATTTATTGATTTGGTAGTGCACTCACCTGAGGTAACTGTAAATAGAAAAATTATACATTGTTCAGGGTATGATGTTTACTTACAAAGGAAACATATCCTAACCAATGCATAATTTATTTATTTATTTATTTATCTCTTTACTCAGATATGTAGCCTTAGCCCTGCAGTTGCTCCTGAGGAGCTGATCCCTGGCCCTGGGGTACATTCTTGACTTTTCTGACAGTAGCAAACTGTTCACTTTGCACACTTCAGGGCTATAGGCCTGATAGGTTGAGATTGTGAAAAGCCCTTTGAGCAGATAGAGCAGGTAGCGGTAGCCTTGGCCATTTTTCTCGCGTGTTTGAAATGAATGGCTGGCTCTCCCAGTTGTCTGTCGTATTCTCAATCTGAACAGAGCTATCAGTTTTTGTGCCTGCAAACAACTCCAGGCCATACAGCTCTGTGCCTCTGCACACCATTTGCTAGTGTTCAGGAGCGTGGGGCTGAGGTCAGGTCCAGCGGTTCTGTCTACCTGTAGAGCTGTGCTTGCTGTGGCTTTGCCTGCTTTCTCATGGGATTCTTTAAGCTGAAATGGTTGTAATAGGGCCGGAGAGATGGCTCAATGGAATAAGCACTTCCCTGGCAAGCGAAAGAGCCTGAGTTCAATCCCCAGTTCTGCAAAAAAAAAAAAAAAAAAAAGAAAGAAATGTTTGTAATAATGTTCTTAAATGATCATATGCTTTTGAAAGTAAATAGCATTTTGTATATTTTCAGTAGGTCAGCTAAAAAGAGAAAGGTTTATGGTGATTGAGTTGACATATA